TTAGCTTGGCTGAAGCTCATAGAAAACAATCCTTAAAAGTTACACTGAATTACAGGCTCCCTGCATCTCTGAGTGACCTACAGAAGTCTTTACCTCCCACTGTATTCAAGCTAATGCATGCAGTGTAGTGGTCCTTGGTGTACCTCAAGCAGGTGACCAAGTTTCCTGTGTCATTAGACAGCATCAAAGATGGTGCCTAAATGCAGCAGTGGGTGTTTTACTGGGAGTAAATCTTTATCTGCGATAAGGCAGCTGGGTAATGCAAGCAGGGAATGAAGCTTTGGGAGGACCCGCAGATCAGTGGGAGAGCATGTGCATTGCATACAGAATGTCAATCCTGAGCATCTCTAGGTAGGACAGGAAAAACTGCTTGAAATCCTGGCAAACTTTCCAGTCAGTGTCAATAGTACTGTGCTGTGGGCTGACTCAATATGAAGTAGCTTCCTATATTCTGATATGCCTCTACTGAGCTAATGTATGCAGGCTGAGTCTTCATACATTAATGCTGAAATCAACACAGAGTTTGGATGCAAGGACTGTTCTAGCGTATGTACAAGGCATACAAAGAAACAAGGTGCACAAATAGCAGGATAGGTTTGAACATAATATACATTATTCCTGGAGTGAAGGCTCCTGTAGGAATCTGTGATTCCCTTGGGATTTGTCTAGCTTTACCTTTCTTCTGTTCTAACCCTGTCCCTCAGTCTGGAGCTGAACCCACATTTCCAAGCTCAGAGGCAAATTGAAATATAAGAAGCTGCCTTTATACTGACTGTATTTGAATGAATAGAAATCTTTCTTGGATTTCTGGTCCTTTGACTGAATTTGGGGCTGACTCTTTGGCATTGCAAAAGCCATGCTTGAAAGGCAAACAAGTGGAGGTTCCTGGAGCAAAAGGACAATACAAGGACCTGCTGATCTCTCTCAAACTGAAAATGTGTCAGAATTGAAGGGTATTTCTTGCCAGAGCTTGTAACTGGAAAAACATAGGTTATTTTATATGTTCCCCAATTATGGTGAAGGTTTGAATGCTAAAAGGGCATTGCATGCTTTCCAAGGTAGCATGAGGACCACAGTTATTATTCAAGTCATGTGGGTGATACACAGATCATGAACTTTGTACTGTATTGGGTGGTGGTGGTAGCTGACACATTACAATCAGGAATATTTTATTCCTTCCTATGCCCAGCCTTCCAAAACAAGACACATTAGACAAAGTGCACAGGAAATATGCCAAAGTCAACATAGCTCAGCTTTTCAGTGCCAACTTCCACTGAATTGCTAAGCTTGAAAGGGTGAGATTTTTCCCTTATATGCAACAAACATCCTAAGCAGAGTCTGTCTTGACCCTAGAATGCATCTCCAAGCCTTGTTTTTACTTGTTTCTATTTTAATTTTTAACTTAATTTGCAATGTAACTAAAACTAAGCAGAAAAGGCAGTGTCATTAACAAAATTTCAGTATTCATATCACAGACATACCTATTCAGATGTATGGATTAATGTGTATCTAAACAAAATTGATAACTATAGAATATACAGTGAAATGTAGAAAGAATGGTAGGATGTTCAGACTACCGAATAATAGATAGTGACTGTTTATTCTTCCAAGCTTACAGCAGAAGTCTCTGCGACTGTAAGGGCTCCCAGGATCCATTGTGACTACCCACAATCTGTAGACCACAAAAATATCATTTGTAAATATATGGGCATTTGTATCCATCACAGATTTTTCTAAGACAAAATGATACGAACTGTAATTTCTGAGTGAATAGAAACTAGCATGGAACACACCTATATGTCTTAACAAGACATTTTCTGCTGACAAGAGAAAAAAACAGATTGATGAGAAAAGAACAGAGTCCAGTGAGGGTGTACAATCAAACGAATATTAACAGTTTATTGCAACATACAGGAAATATATGCAGCATCTTGGTAGCCCTAGATGCTTTTATAACCAATTAGTTACACAGTTTGGAAGCGCATGGGAGATCATATAGATGGTATGCTTGAGGGAACAGAGAACAAAACAGTAGAGATTAAGACAACACAAAAAGAACCATCTTCAGGGCAGGCAAACAGTACATCTGTGAGTGTACCCCTAAGCATTTCTACAATGTAGGTGGGAAGCAAGACTTCAACATGGATTCCTGATCAGGAATCTCACCTTAAGTCTAAAGCTGTCATTTGCTCATTTTGTCCTGATACTCCATTACATCACCAACATGTAGCAGAGGTAGCTAATGTTTTCTTAACAAGACACTGTGGTAACCAGTACACCTAAAACACTGGATTCTGCTGAAGCAAGTTCTGTTTTAAGCCTAGAGGAAAAAGAGTGAAACTAAGGCAAGTTTCCATGGATTACATTGCACAATTTTTGATTTTTTATTTTATTCAGTTACGAAGATCCATTGCCTACATTATATTAAATATTATTTTAGGTTTTTTGCAGATAAGATGAATTCTTCCAGCAGTGTTAGTGTTACTGAGCTCTCCATGTTGATGGTCCAAAAGCAGACACCAAGAGATATTGCACTTGGAAATATTTCTATTCAGCACTAGTTAGAAAATGGCATCTATTAGCTGTTCTAATGTTAAGATTGCACCGTCAACCCAGTTTTTCCACAATATTGCCACCTCTCTATTTTCCAATCAGCATTGTTTTCATAAAGTTGATTTAGTGAGAAAATATAGATCAGTCAAAAGCTGACAAGACACTACATGCCACACCTCTTTAGTTTCAGGTGGAAGGAGGCCTTTTTTATATATACCTAGATCCTAATTCCAACCAGTCAGACAAAAATGCCATGTAGGTTGACTCTAAGATAACCCATGTAAGATATTCAAAGAAGGCAAAACCTTCCAGGAATTTGTACAAGCTAAAGGATATGATTTATGTTATAAAGCAAAGTCTAGAAAATTAAATCTTTGCAGCATCAGAAGCAACATCTTCTTAATTTTTTTTTAAAAATGTAACCAAATACATTTCTGATGCACTGTTCTCCATTTTTGAAAGTATGTTTGAGGGGTATATAAAGTAATACTATGTCATGCATAAATTATCCACGGAAGAGCATTCATCACAAGCATACCTGGCCCCACACAATTATGTGCTGCCCATCTTGCCATAGCAAGAAATATTTCTCCTGACTATGTATATTTAATTCAATTAATCATTTGAGAAGTATCTCTGGAAACCAATAAACCAAGATAAATTAGAATTTGCAGGCACCAAGAGAACTGCCGCTTAGCTAATAAGTTAGGTAAGTTAGTAATGCCTTTAGCCATTAATTCAGATTTTAACCAATTAAAAGTATTGTCAGAAAACACAGCAAAGGTATTAATTAAATTGTTCAGTTACACTATAGAAAGTCTGGCCTACTAATGAATAAGAACAAATCATCTGTATACAAGGCTGTTTTATGTTCAGCTTCCTCATCTACAAACCCATACCTCTGCCTAATTCTGTACATCAAGGCTTCCAAGAACAAATAATATATCAAGGAGTAAAGGGGACAGCTGTGCCTTGTGCCCCTCTTCAGGCAAAAATAAAAATAGAGAGAAACGCATGTGTCAGCACTCTTAAGAGAGTGATAAATTAGTAAACAGTTTCAAAACTCCTGAGGAAAACTGTTTTTGTCAGACTAACAAAAATAACTTGTGAATATATTTTTAAATTATTCTTCAAATAATCAAATAAGCATCAAAAGCAATGTTCACAGCCAAATAAGTTATTTTAGTAGTCAAAGCAATCTGGTTTACTACAAGTCTTTTCTGCCCCCTGCTTTTGATGAATAAATCCCACTTGATTGGGATGTTTCAGTGTAGATACCACATGCTGAAGTCTGCTAGTGAGAATTGCTGTAAATATTTTAGCATCTATATCAATTAAAGAAACTGGTATAGTTTCTACAGTTAGAAGTTTGTTCAGTTTAGAAATGTATTATGAGGCTGCTAAAATTCCTAAATCAGTAGTTTTACCATAGAAATTTTAAAAAACATCTGAACCATTCTATAAGGAAAATATCTGGTCCTGGAACATTCAGTAACTTACTGTTTTCCATTCACAAGGATACTGCAAAGATGTTCCCTTTGCTGTAAATCCAGTTGTGGAAAGACTTGACCAATAAAGAACCTGAAAACTTTTTCTTAAAGTATGGTCCTAACCCTATGCAATTCAGAATATTGTAAAAAACTATATTATTTGATGTTTGCACTTTATTATGATTATCTCTAGTCAATAGGATATAATTGCAGTCTTTTTGCTGCTTTAATCAAAATGCTGGAATCTTACCAGACCTCTCCACTTTTCTGTTATCTTTGATATAGGGAAGTCAACAAAACTCTGCTTCAGGTGAAAATAATTTATGTTCTTATCTGGAACATTGCAGTATTTGATAGAGTTCATGGGGGAAGCTAGTTACAAAAGGTATTTTGCAATTTTAACCAAATTTCCTCTCTCTTTTTCTTATTCTAAGCATCTTCCTATGGGAAACATATGCAATAAATGTTCTCCTCATATAAGCCTTAGATGTTTCTATTCAGTAGCACAGGGTGCAGCCAAGCTTTCATTAATGTCAAAGTATTGCTTACATTCAAAACCCATCTTTATTTTTAAAAGTGTTCATGTGCCAGAAGATGTAACTGAATTAACCAGCTGGATACCAAGATCAACTGGGACATGATCTAAGATAGTAATGCCTTTGATGTGACATACTGTAACATATTAAAGGAGAAGTATCCAAAAAGTTATCTAATTCAAAATAATTCTTATGGATCCAATGAAAAGAGAATAGTCCTGCTCCACAGAGCATAAAATGTGCTGCACTTTAATCATGACTAATTCAGATGTATAGGCCTTCAGAGATGAATGGATTGCAGAATAAAGTTTGCTTCTACTTGGAATTGAATACAGAACAGCATGAAAATCTTCACCAGTTGACAAGCAATCATAAGTTCTGAACCTTTAAGGTCCATTAATTATGTCTTCTTGTTCTTCAGTGGCTTAAGTCCAGCGGATGACAGCGGAGGCAAAAAAAAGAAAAGAAAACAGAAACAGAAGAAGGACAAAGGGGATCAACTTGATTTGACTCATGATCAGTCAGTAAAGGTAAAAAACCCCTCTCCAGCAGGTTGGTATGTTGACCAACCCAGTGCCTTTCTCCCATATTATGTTCCCCTCTCAGTACATAGGAAGTTAAATTTGACTGGGGATCAAGCCAAAACTGTTTACTTGTCAGGGAATGGATTTCAGCTGGAGTGGTGCTTCCTCCAGTTTCCCAGGGTGCCATCAGAGGACTGTTGACGTACAGCAGCATTAGTCAACCTTTTGCGGGGGCATTAACACATTTGACAATTTGAGAAAGTGTCTTGTGCATCACAGCAAAATAGCTGCTATGAAAGGTGTGGGTTATAAAAGACAAGTAACCAACAAAAAGTAAGTATAGGGCAAACATTAACTCTTTCAAACCCACAGTGTTCAGCACCAGTGGAAACCTATTTCAAAGAAGACAAACTTTCTCTCTCTCTTTCCCCCCAGTTCTGTGCCAGTCCACTCATTCCCACATGTCTTTTTCTCTTGTCATCTCAATTGCCACACACCATACATGCACATGTGTGTGTAGAGCATAGACATACAGAAAGAAAAGAGTGAGAGGGGTAAGACACGTTGGTGAGTTGCAAGACATTCAGGGACATATTGGTGCCCATGACCTGTTGTTTCTTGTCTACATTTGTTACTCAGTTCATATAGGTGTGGAATGCAGGGAAATTACGTGCTCTCTGTGGTTATTGGGAAATTTTAGGGGGCAAGGGAAGGAGTACATCTTCTCCAAAAGATTTAAACTTTCCTTTAAAGTGGTGGGAAGAGGGCAGAAATTAAGACTTACTTTTTGCTGTGTTTTACAGGTGAATTCATTGCCAGCAGAAAGGATGCATGAGATTCAAAAAGCCATTGAACTTTTTTCAGTAGGACAAGGGCCTGCCAAAACAATGGAGGAAGCCACGAAGCGCAGCTATCAGTTCTGGGACACACAACCAGTCCCCAAGTTAGGTATACAGTAATAGTTCTCTCCTTTCTTCTTGGCTGGGCTTAGAGTGGCTGAAAAGATCTCCCCATGTTTTGAGACAGTTATATGCCCCCTGTTAGGATGAAAATTTTAGTAGAGTGGCAGAAGGTGGGGCGTGGTTACACTGTATAGCTCATAGATTCTAACTCCTCCTAAGAAACAGTTTAAATCGCATAAGTGAGACAGGTTGGGCAACCTAACCTGAAATGGTGATTCAAGGCTAGAGCTAAATTGTGAGTTGGCTGGTAAACAAGAAGGGACTGTTTGTCCTCCTAACAAGACTGGACTCAGCTGTCTTGGTAAGAAACCATGGGTATAGTGGCCAAGAAGCTGGAATTGCTTAGACAAAGTGTGGTATACATGTGCAGCTTGGAACTCTGGAAACATACAGGAACTGGCTAGGCAAAGCTGGGAATGTAGCCTGCTCACATTCTTTCTTTTCCCTATCTCAGGAGAAGTAGTGAACACTCATGGGCCTGTTGAACCAGACAAGGACAATATCCGCCAAGATCCCTACACCTTGCCTCAGGGCTTTACGTGGGATGCCCTGGACTTGGGGGATCGAGGTGTGGTGAGTAGGGGTTGAGGCAGAACTAACCACCCTAGTAGTTTCTTAAAGCCATATCCTCTCTTCCTTCTCCCATGCTACAATAGTGTTCCATTATTTTCTGGACCTTTGTGTGTAAGGCATTCCACACCCTTACTAAAGTATCCTTATTGCATTTCTTTTCCTCTCTGCTCTTCACATAAGCTACTGGGTTTCCTGCTACTTGAATTTTCATTCTCCTTCATTTTGACCACGCTGCCATTCCTGTTGTTTTCCCATTCCCAGCTCATGAATTCTATCTTAAAACCAGTTTCTCTGGCAGTCTGTCATGCATGCAGACACCCAGAGGTTCATGGGACCCTTGCTTTGTCCCATTTCTGTATGAAACAGCTGGAAGAGGTCATTCAGAGTTTTGGGATGAGATGCTATCAATATGCTGTTGATACTTGTCTCTTTGTTATCTGACTATAAGGAACCAGTTGATATCCCCTTAGTTTGTTGGGTCTCTCTGTCTGGGCACCTCTGGAATGGTAACCACTCCTGTTCTTTTGATGCTATATTCACCTGTGCTGTAGTTTCACAGCCCAATCTAGACTTCTTTGTTTTGAGCATGTGGGAACAGCTCAGCACTTTATAGGGTCATTTTTTGTATACAACTTTCTCTTTTAAAAACCGGCTCCATATAACTGCTTTGAGACTTAGTCTTATTTTCTTATTTAAAAAATGTTGAGTATGTTATGGGCTAGATACCTTTTTGCTATTGGCCCCTTAAACTTGATACTCCAGTGCTATTCATCCTCAACTCCAGATGCAGTTGGATATTACTGATTATCTGAATCCATTTCAATCAGGCTTTTGACTACATTATGGGACTGATACTGATTATCTTGGTGGAAGGCCCACCTGCACCAGGACCTGGATGGAGGTTTGACGCCCTATTTTTTTCTTCCAGACTTCTTGGTAACTTTCAATACCTTTTGTCTGGACCACCTGGCAGGACTGGGCCTTGGAGACTCTATATTATAGCAGGTCCAATCCTTACTATCAGGCCATGTCCAGAAGGTGTTGGCGGATTACTGATTGGCTTCTCAGCCATTGGTCTATGGTGTCCCACCGGATTCTGTTTTGTCTGTGTTTTTTAACATCTACGTGAAAAGGGTAGGAGAGGTCTTTGACAGCTTTGGAGTGAATTGTATCAGTATGTAGAGGATGCTTGTTTCTGTTGCTGCTTGTTACCTGACTCCAAAGAAGCAGTCAATATCCTTGAATGTTGCGTAACTCCTACAATTAGGTTGATGAAGGTGTGCAAGTGGAGGTTAAATTCAGACACTACAGACACTACAGTGATGCTGCTGACTGGTAGAAATCCTGGCTTAGAGGCTGGAATTCAACTTATTCTCTATAGAGTCATGTTCCCCCTGAAAGATCAAATCCACTTTCATGGGAACACTTCCGAATTTTTAGTTGTTAGCTGTGGCAAGACATTCTAAAATCACATCTAATGTGCCAGCTGCAACCATTTTGAGTAACTCATGCCATAGCAACAGTTACCTATGTCTTGGTTGTATCATAGTTATATCACGTTTAGACTATTGCAGTGATCTCTATGTGAGGCTACTGCTCTAAAGAATGTCCAGAAGCTGTAGTTAGTAGAAAATGTAGCAACTAAGCTGCTAGCTGCTATATAGTATTGTGATCACAACATCCCTGAAAGAAATGCTCATATTGCTAATTGGTTTGGGGATCAATATCAACTTCCTAAAGACCACAGATAAGAACTGAATTTGGGTCTTCCCAGATTCATGCCAAACACTGTTTAAGTGTGCTGGTGTTCACAGTTGTTCTCTAATTCTTTCAGTGATATCCTGTCAGATAATGCTGCTGTCTTAATAAAAGGCACCTGTGGTTCCTTAAGCTGATAACACCTCTCTGTCTCTCTCCCCCTCCCTCATCCTCTCTCCCTTCCCCTCCCTCCCCTTCCCCCTTCCTTTCTTTCTTCCTTCCTCCCTTCCTACCTTCCTTTAGCTAAAAGAGTTGTATACTCTCCTGAATGAGAATTATGTGGAAGATGATGACAACATGTTTCGGTTTGATTATTCACCTGAATTTCTTCTGTGGTAAGTTATACATGTTTTTTTAAAAAAATTTTATTAAAATTTTAAACTAACACTAAAAACATCAAACATCACATACATCGGATTTACTGGGTCAGCCCCCTACTACATATCTTTTAACATTCTAAAGTCAAATTCAAATAAATTTATAATAATTTGAAAACATCTCTAAGTTTACGCCAAGTCCCGTTTCTCCAGCCAGTTATAGAAAGAATCCCAAGTTCGATAGAAGTCAGTGCGTTCTTTCTCCTTCAATGATAAAGTCAATCTATCCATTTCTGCGCAGTCCAAGATCTTTCTTACAATCAATCCATCGGTGGGTAGCTCCTCACTTTTCCAATATTGAGCAAATGCAATCCTTGCCGCTGTGATTAGGTGTAACATCAGATACATTTCCTGTCTGTTAACGTCTTCCGGTATGATGCCTAACAAGAAAACTTCAGGTTTAAAAGCAAGGGGTTTTTGTAATATTTCCTCCATCCATCTATGTATTTTAATCTGATACTTTTTCGCATTATCACAAGTCCACCACATATGATAGAAAGTACCCACTTTATGTTTACATTTCCAACATCTATTTGACATATTTGGAAACAACTTAGCTAATTGACTTGGTGACAAATACCATCTATAGAACATTTTATATAAATTTTCTTTATACGAAGTTGCTAATGTTACCTTAATGTTTCTTTCCCATAGTTTTTGCCACTTTTCTAGTTCAACATTAAATCCGAAGTTTTGTGCCCATGTTATCATCGTTTCTTTAACCTGTTCCCCTTCCAATTTTCCTGCCAAGTAAAAAATCATATAGTCTTTTAATAATTTTCTCATCTGTTTTAAGCATCACTTGATCAAACTCTGTTAGGTCTTTGTAAACCCCCACGTAAGTTACATATCTTCATAAAGATCTGCAGTTGTTTCCATACATTTTTCCGTATTGCTAAACTTCAACTTGGGTTGCTGCTATACCCCCCTCCCACCCATAAACCTCTATTTCCAAAGGCAGAAAGCATATTTTATAGGAGGCAAGACACTCTGGAGAGATTATTCTGTGGCAAAATTAAGAATGCAAATCTTCCCTGTCTCCACCCAGCAAACTTCTTTTTTCCTCTCCTTATTTGCGTTTCAGGAACTTAGTAATGTTCAGCAGTCAGCATTTGAAAAACACGATTTATGCTATTTCTCCTATCTGTCCAAACTCTTATGTGAACTGGCAGCTTAGAAGAATTCTCTTGAGGGACAGAGTTCCTTCTGGGTAAATATTTGATGGTGTGGGAAGGTGGAATAGGCACTTTTCATTGTGTGTATGAAGTGAAGGAGGAGAGCTTGTCCAGTCAGCTTCTAGAAGGTGAAGACTAGTTTCCTGGTGCAAGTTACAATGACCCAATGAGAGAAGACTTTTCCAAGGACAAGTGATTGTTGCAGAGGCTAGCAATAAATTGGTCCCCATATTAATTGAGGTTCTTCCTTTAATGCAGGGGTGCAGGACATCAGCCTACACAGGCTGGATTGGGGTATCCCAGAGGTCCAGTGGTAGATGCTAGCTGATGTGTCTGGTGAGCCAAAAAAATGAGTCAACTTAAGCAGTCAGTATGGATCTATCCTGAAGCTACTTTGTAAACCAAAGGACCATTCCAACTCTAGAGGGCTGAAAATGGCACTTGGAAGTGATTGTGTCAATTGCCCTTCATATCTCAATATTCCACAGCATAATGAAGCCCTCGCATGATGTCCGGCTGTAGTTACTGGAAGATCCTACAGAGAATTCAAGAATATGTCAAATTCCTTACATCTCCAAGGGCATCTTAATAGCTCTGCAATTCTCTAGCAAGGGAATGACATCCATGAGACCAGATTTCACCAGGAAGTGGTCTGGCCATGACACCCAAATATCCAGACTACCCCCTCATGCCCTGAGGCAAAGACCAAATCAAGAGTATGTCATATGCACTGAGATTACAGCAAACTAAGACCAGTCCAATGGAAGCTATGAAAACCTGAGTAATTTCTTTTTAAGGCTGCCTCACTGTTGAAGTTCTCCAAAGACCAAGATCCTAGGGTTCTCCAAAACCACATCTGTAACTGTCTTAGCCAGTTCAGTCATGGAGGCTATTGAGAAGTAAGGTTGGCACCAGTAGCATCCCTGTTCTGTCTTTTGGCCCATTTTAGGGTTGTCCCTCATATCCTGTCCCAAAATTAAGGGATTTACTTGTGTGCACAATTGAACTTTTGTGGATAATAGCATCTCTTTCTGGCTTTCAAGCCTGACCTTTTGCTATTCAAGTACCTGGATGAACAAAGATGGGTCAGATCCATGTCACCCAACTCATTTACCCAGGTCTAAGCAGTGCACATCAGATTTTCTCATTTATTCATAATGAAATGATGGATAAATGGTATTACTACATCCTAACTTGGCATTCACCAGCAACATGACTGGTCCAGACAGTGTAGGAACAAGGTTACCGTGAACCTGTGGCATGGGAGAAAAATCCAAAAGAGGATTGACACAAGCTGGCTAGATCTTCCACTACACTAGACTTCCTGCTTCATTATACTATTTTGGTTCCTCCCTAGAACCACCATAATATGGGCACCTTGTCTTTGTTGCATCATTTTGGCTACTTCTGCTACTTTCTGCTTTGAGAGAAACAACCATTGCAGACCAGAGTTAAGGGAAGAAGAAAAGCATTCCATGACTTATTAACACGGTAGATAGCAAAAGGGGACCTGGAAAGTCCTTAGTTGGAAGGAGACTCCTACTGCAAGTCTGGAAGGATAACCACCTGTCACCTATTATTTAGTGGTCTAAAGTTCTTACTGCTGTTACAGTTCAGAGTTCAAATATTCAATCTCCTTTGACTTTTCCACATTTTGTTATGTTGAAACCTAGAAGTGAGATGGAATTAATTAGCATTGTTACTGCTTCATGTACAAAAGATGCAAGTGCAAAATATTTTATTGTAGCACAAAAGTTAAGAAAACAAAAACTGGTAATTCTTTGTTCCATAGGTATTCACCTCTTTTGCTGAGCAATGCCTAATTGTAGCTCTGATGTGGCCCACTGTCTCCAGAGTAATGCAATTCATGTCACATGAGCCCAGATGAAATATATCTGTTTCTGCATGGCCCCAGAATTTGCTGAGTACATCTCTAAAACAGCATCATGAAGACCAGATTGCTGTCAAAACAACTTCTAGAGTAGAAGCACCAGTCGAGGTTGGGTTATTTAAAAAAAATCCCAAGCCATGGACATCCTCCAAAGCACTGTTAAATCCATTATTGCAAAATGGAAAAAAATATGTTTCATCCACAATTCTGCCTTGAGAAGGCCACCCACCAAAACTCAATGGCCAGATAGGGAGGATGCTGATCAGAGGAACAAGAAGCTGATTGATAAGAAGCCAATTGAAATTCTGAAAGAGTTGGAGAAATCTGCAGCTGAGATGGGATAATGTGTCCATGGGACAATTATCACTTAGATATTCTAAGAAGCTGGGGCTTTATGGAAGAGTGACAAGAGGAAAGCTATTGCTGAAAGAAACCCACATCAAAGCTTGTTTGGATTTTGCTAAAAAGCTTGTGGAAGAAACTGCAGATATATAAAATGTCTCCTGAGACAGAAATTGGACTGTTTGCCTTACTGCACAAAGCTATGTGTGGTGCATACTCAACTGTGGTCATAGTCCCGAGAATACCAGATGTTTTTTCCTCAGCAGGGACTAGGAAATGGGTCAGGATTGAGGAAAGGATGGGTGGAGCCAAATAGGGGGCAATTCTAGAGGAGAAACTGTTTCATTCTCCAAGGGAGTTGGGACTGAGGTGGAGGTTCACCTTACAGCAGGCCAGTAACCCTAAACATGCAGGCAAACACTGGAGTAGCTTAAAAATAAGACCCTGAATGTCTTAGGGACCAATCAAAAACCCAATCCATTTGAACATCTGTGACGAGACTTGAAAGTTGCTGTTCAGCAGTGGTCACCATCCAGCCTGACAGAGCTGAAGCAGTTTTCCCAGGAAGATTGAGCCAGTTGACAGCATCCAAATACACAGAGCTGATAAGAGACTTACCCAGGAAGACTCACAGCTGCCATTGCTGCCAAAGGTGCGTCTACCAAGCTTGGACTTGGGAGTGCACACTTATGAAACCAGTACCAGTTTTTGTTTGTTTAATTTTTGTGCCACGATAGAAATACTGTGCACCATCAAAGAGTTGGGCATCTAGTGTACATCAAGTGGTAACAGTGAGAGTTAAATCCATTTCAATTCCTGGTTGTAATGCAAAATTATGGAAAAGCTAAGATATGGGGTGAGTACTTCCATAAGGCACTGTATATCCTGCAGTCTCCAATTTCATATGCATGTGGGGGGAGGGATGGGACTACTGCTTATATCACTGTATTTGAAATAGAATTGTCAAATATTGTTCCTTTTTACTCCTTTTTATTGACCATATGAACAATTAATATGCTTTTCAGTCATGTTCTTCCCCTCTTTTCCTGATTCCTTCCTTCTTTCTGTTATATATGCAAATAGTCTTTTAAAAGTTCAACTGTATTTCTGTTGGACTAATAATGAGGCTTCTTTGCATCTAATACATACTTGTTGCCAAGAAAAGTTGAACCTTGCAATCTGTTCTTTATACAGATTAAGTTTACTTGGCATGCAAGGTTACATCTCCCAACAGGCAGAAATCTTACTACTTTTTCCCTTCCCTTGGACCCCCATATTCCAAAGTTTCACTGGAAATTGTATATCTATTTTCATCACTATACAGCCATACGATTTAGGATTGCTAAAATGCCTACCACAGCACTAATGGCATATGGTTTTGGGGGGGGGGTGTTAATATTTATTTATAACTTTTATATGCCATAACCACATCCCTCGGCATCTTGGGAAGGCTTACAACATAGAATTAAAGCAATAAAATAATATACATTTATTGCTGGTATATATCCATTTCAACAAATGCAGACCAAATATCAAATGAATATTCATTTCAAATTGGCATCAATATGCCACTTGTTCATGTATCTAAAGAATCCTCAGCCCATTGTATTTTCAAAAGTGAGCACTTATTCTTCCAATTTTTAATATTAGTATTTAGCTGTCAAAGGGGTATAGAAAATCTCTTGTTTCATTTAATTTACATAAAGCAGTTAATTAATGTAAAAGAATCCATGCATCTGTGAATATGACAGGCTTTCCCAATGCACATTTTTCTGACGTTATTAGTCAGAAAACTCTGGAAGTAGCAAATACAGGGCATTGCCAAAAAGTATGTTAAAAGCAGCATCAGCTGTATTGCACTATCAGCAATTAGCTGAATTAGACAATTCCTTATTAAAGAGACAATGTAGTGTCCATTAGACATTATATGTGAGAGCCAGTTTGGTGTAGTGCTTAAGAGCATCGGACTGGGACTTGGGCAACCTGGGTTCTAGTCCCTGCTTGGCCATGGAGCCAGTTGGGTGACTTTGAGCCTGTCACAGACTCAGCCCAGCTTACCCCACATGGTTGTTGTGGTGGAGATAAGCTTGAGAGCAGGAGCAAGAGAATGATGCAAGCTGCTTTGAGTTTGTAAGAAAAAAGTGGGATATAAATACGGTGCTTAAAAGATTTTGCTGAAGAATGCAGCTTAAGTTCCGTAGATAAAACAGTGGATGCAAATGTGGCAAATTAGGCCTTTTGTGTTGGTTCCCATAAGAATTTCTCAAACAGATTCTCTGATTCTCACATGTGCCCACAGAGTCTGAACAATTCTGCCCTAGAAACTTGTTACTCTGTGTTGTGTCCTTGTGTTTCATTTTGCTTTAGGAGCTGTTTGTATGCCATGTCACCAGCTGCATCCTCTGTTTCAGTATTATCTGCCCGGCCTGCAGCAGCTCACCAAGATGTACGAGGGCTGCATAATGTTTTCCAAAATATGTGGCTGCATGCCTGACAATGGACTTGATGATGATACGGTGTAGTCTTGAAATGAAACATCTTAACAAGTCCATGGCTTCTTTCTAGGGCTTTGCGTCCTCCAGGGTGGCTTCCACAATGGCACTGTGGTGTAAGGGTCATATCAAGCCATAAACTGGTTGGCTTCATCAGTGCTATTCCAGCTGCTATCCACATATATGACGTGTAAGTCGATTCACATTTTTCTCTCTGTGTCCTGGTTTCAAGAGCCAACACTCTAGCAACTGTGGGTGTCTTTTGTAGATTAGAGTTTAGGTCAGGTTTGAGCCAGGGATCACCACCAAAAGTATTTTTCACCTACAAGACTTCATCTTTCAAAGCAGCAGAGGGCTGCTGAGCATATGCAGAGTATTTTGACATTTCTTACAAACAGCCATATGAAGCAAGTCTTCAAGGCATGCTTGAGCACAGATGCCTTTCACTTTAGAAGGCATCCTGCTATTGGAATCTCCCACTTCCTACAGGCCTATATATGGGACAAGTGTGAGGGGGGATATTGTTTGAGATAAATATTTTGGCTTTATGACTGTAGAAATGAGACTTTTCTTCTACTTTCTGTAAGTTTTGAGAATAACACAGTAAGAGAATGCATGCACAAAGAAACATCTTGGAATAGAGGGATAATTCAGGATAACAGGTGATAGGAGTTATGTCTGCTCTCTGCTAATTTGTTTTTTAAACTGAGCTGCTGTTCACCATTTTTATTTCTCATTCTCTGAAGGGAAAAAAAGATGGTAGAGATAAATTTCCTCTGTGTGCACAAGAAACTGCGTTCCAAACGAGTGGCTCCTGTTCTAATTCGGGAGATTACCCGACGGGTCCACTTGGAGGGGATTTTCCAGGCTGTGTACACTGCTGGGGTAGTCCTTCCAAAACCTGTAGGGACGTGCAGGTAAGTGTCAGCACCTGGATTTTGTTTTTAATTTTCCCCAAATTGGGTTCCCATTAGTTTCCTGGGGGCATTTTATTACTGCTGTCTCTGGTATTGTTCTTGCCTTTCTGCAAATTCTGACTCTCAGATGCACCCTTTACTTTAAATCATTCCTTTTCACATTTGCCATGTTAACCCTAACACATGTTGTAGAAAGTCCCCACTGGTGGTAAAAGGAGAGCAAGTCTCAAACTGAAGGTGAGAATCATAATGACAGAAAACCTTTTACTGAACTTGCTAGCTCCTAAAGCTCTGGAGTCATGCAGCACCCTTCTTGAGTGATCGATTTTGAGAGCACAAGTAGAAACCAGTAATGCCTGTTCTAGCTGGTTACTTAGCTAACTTTGCTGTTTTTCCAAACAAAACATGAAAGGGAGTGTGAACAGAAGGAAATGAGGTTGTTCGGAGGGTCTGTCCATTGACATGGGAACTGATTGAAAGAAAAATATATAGTATCTTTTTGAGAATGAGAGAGAACCTTACTTCCAGTTTTTTGATACAATGGGTTAGGCTTTGTTAGCAGGATTTCAAATGGCTAAGGTCTCAATGGAGGAAGGATGGGATATCACTGGGATGAATAAAGTGGAAGGGTCCTCTTCTTGGTAGGTACTGGCATCGGTCCCTGAATCCACGTAAGCTGATTGAAGTGAAGTTTTCGCACCTGAGCAGGAACATGACTATGCAACGCACCATGAAGCTCTATCGACTTCCAGAGGTCTGTAATGGGTGAGGCAGTGACCTAAATTGTGCCTTGGTGTAAGAAGCTTTCAATCAGGAATCATGCATTTTCTCATGTTGCCTTCCCTCCCATGAATGAGACAAAAAGTCGGGGAATACAGAGGCCCAGATTATTCTTCATATTTGGAAAAGATTTCTTCTTCACTGCAGCATAACTTGGGATTGAAGCCAAATTGGGATCTAATTGTGAGGGATGTTTGAGATGTGCCCATTGAGATCAGAAAAGACTTTTCCCCACCCATCCCTTTTCCTTGTGTACCTCTGCCAATGACCACTTAATTTTTTTAGTAGCCCCAGAAATTATTCTACACCTAGAATAGTAAGCTTCAAACTGCCAGGACATGAGATAACTATTTGTGTGCCACAAGATATATTTGAAATAAAGGCTCCAATGAAACTGAAGCACCCTCCCAAACCAAAGGGTGCCTGCTGCATCTGTGCATGAAGTATTGTTTTGGCCCTGCCCCCATTAATCAGTCTCTTCCATAATGAGGTAGTTCTGACCTGTCCCTGCATCAGCAAGTAATTGGATCAATCAGTCAGTGTGAAGTCATGCCAGAAATAGCTTTACTCAGATAAGGCAGCTTGTTTTATTTCTGGCTGAGATGCTGATCTGGGCTTCCCTAGAGTGAGTCACAGAAGCACAAGCCATGAGCTCCCCTAAAAACAAGGTGTTCTTCTTTGTGGTCTCTGTATCTGGGGGGAGCCTGTTGCCAGGAAGATTCTGCAACCTGGAGAGTTTTGGCAGGAGCCCCTCCCCCACCCTCAGCATCACCTTATAGAAAGTCCTGGTTCCCACCCTTTCCCTCAGTTCTTCAACTGCCATTGTGGTGCCTCAGGAAGCTCTGTCTCTCCTTATGATTCACAGCTTTTCCTTAAAACTTGTCTCTGTTCACGTTCTAGTTATTTCTGGTACACTTTCCACATACCATGCAGTTTCGACCAATGTTGAGGTCAGTCTGCCAGATCCTGCCTCTGACCTGAGGCCCTTAAATGAGCTGAGGGAATGGGCGGCACAGCTAGAAGTCACTAGAAAGCTCTTGATTCTCATTCCAAACAACATTGCCTTGATAGAGAGAGATCAGTAGTGATTTACGAAATCCTAACACACAAACTTGAGTCCTACAAATGATGCCTTCACAGCCATTTGATTTGTTATAGAATATCTATAACAAATCCTTGGTTGCCCAGGACCCACCAACATTCACAACACAAATTTTGGAGTCATTTTCTAAACATGATTCCACAGGGCTATTTTCTTTGCAAGGTTGTTGGATTTATCTATAACAAACAGAATCCTCTGCAGGACATCTGTATACCATGGCCTAGCCATGAAATGCGTGTTTGCCTGTTGTCAATGCCGGATAGCTTTTTGTGATTTTGAAAATGAGGAAAAATCTTAATTGCAGAAAGTGGTCTAAACAGCAGTAGCAAATTACACTAGATTGCATAGATACCTTTGGAGAAGGTCGGTTGGATCTAGTTCAGTGACTTTCACACTTTCTATCTTCAGGGAACATCCTTAAAATAGGTTCATACCCATGGTGCACCAAGAATAGTTCTTATGAAGCTGAAAAGAAAAGCTTCAGTAAGAGGAAGGGTCCCAGTGACATCAGAGTCACCAGCTTCCCATGCTTACACCAAGTCAGATCCATGGTCCATCTAGCTCAATATTGTCCTACAGAAAGGCATCAACTTTCTGGGGTTTCAAACAGAAGTTTTTCCTAGCTCTTGGGGATGCTGGAGATTGAATTTGTGGTTTTTTGCATGCAAAGTATGTGCCTGAACTGCACTACAGCCCGTCCGTCCGTCCTTGGAATACAATTTGAAAAGCATTCATCTGATTGAACCCCTTCCTCCATAATAAGGGAAGCTTTCTGCTACCTGAGCAAAGCAAATGGATTAGACTTTATCTCTCTCCCCACAGACTCCAAAGACTCCTGGGCTTCGGTCAATGGAACACAAAGACATCTCTGCTGTGCACAAACTTCTGATAGAGTATCTGAAGCAGTTCCATTTGACCCCCATCATGAATCAAGAAGAAGTGGAGCACTGGTTTCTGCCCCAGCCCAATATCATTGACACATTTGTGGTTGAGGTAAGGTACTTCCCTGGCTCTTCGTGATCACTAAGGCTTGGAGTCAAGATCAGGGTGATGGCTCTGCATAGTCTGTCCCCATCTCCTGTTGACAGATGTAAGCTGTATAAGTCATTTTCCATAATGACTGGGTTCAGAGCATGTACTGTTTGCAGGGCGTGCCTGGACAACTTTTGAATGTCCAAGCCAAAACTTGTCATCTTCTCTGAACCCAGTGAGGATGAGTTGTTGGTGTGGCCAAAGAACCAGCCAGAACCCATGGGCTGTTTTAGTTTATGAGTAGATCCTTAATAATGCCAACAATTTACTCTCACTGGGTTCACAGAAGATGACAAGTTGTGGCTTGAGTATTCAAAATGGCCCAATGAATGTGGATTCATGAATGTATGCATGTGTATCACAACACATTTACATTTCTTCTGTTATCCAGCTATACAAACAGCCTTAAGATAATATGTAAAGTGCTTTATAGCATTCAAGCACTGCTAGTGATGTGTATTGCGGTACTGTAGTTCATATTAAAGGGACTGGTCTGCATGGGTAACCAAAGAAGGTGGAAGAATTTGGGTGTATTAGAATGGACTCTCGGAGTTCAGAGTTCAGCTAAGAGGCTAGAGGCCAAGAACAACAATAAATTCAACTATCAAGAGAATCATAGAATAGTAGAGTCGGAAGGCCATTGAGTCCAACACCCTGCTGTTGCAGGACACCACTAGAAATTCTAGTAAAGCCCACCCCTTACTCTGTTACTTTCCAACATGCAAGTAAACATTCCAAGATGGTATTTTCTCTTCTTAAGGCTGTAGTGGCACAGTCCATGGGGCTCTTCCCAACTAATTTCCCTTGTATTCAGACTTTCTTCCTTTGCGAAATGGGAGAGGGCTGACATGATGTAGGTGAAAATGCAGACATAACTGGTTTCCCCATGGTTGAAGACTGACAAAAATGTGCCCACTCTTTCCTGCAGAACACTGATGGGGAGGTGACAGACTTCCTGAGTTTTTATACCTTGCCCTCCACCATTATGAATCATCCTGTCCACAAGAGCTTAAAGGCAGCCTATTCCTTCTACAACGTCCACACCAAGACACCACTTCTTGACCTTATGAACGATGCCCTCATACTGGCCAAGTTGGTGAGCTGCTCTCTTATTTTGCTTAGTTGACTTACTTTAGTGAAGTGCTTGGAAGAGGATACCAAGAAGTCAGTCCTACCATGTCAGGTATCAGCACTGGGTAAATGTTGCCTGAATTATAAGACTTGTGGAGCAAAGCAGAATAGGATTTCAGAATAGCTGATGCTTTTGTTTTGTAAAGCAAGCTTCCATCTTTCTTAAGAAAAGTTGTTCTAAGTATGCAGAAGAAAAGCCATGCTGAATCTGACCAGTAAGCCATCCAAGCTACCACTCTGTTCACCCAGTCACTACCCACAGGATCCCTCTAGCACATGGGTCCTCAAACTACAGCCCATGGGCTGGATCCGGCCCACCTCAGAAGTTTTGGACTCGCTGCACCCGCACCCCACACACGGGGGAGCAGCTTATGTGGAAATTGCTCACGTGGAAATTGTTTTGGACTCACTTGGAGAAAATGATCTCCAAGTGAGCAAGCGCTTCCTCACGCACCAACCACTGCCTTGCTGTGCGTGCCCTCCCCCGCCTCACCTCGCCTCCCCGCCCCTCACCGTGCGTGCCCTCATCGCCTCGCTGCCCCCGCCCCCTCGCCAGCCTGCGCGCACTGCCAGCACCACCTTTCCGGCCCACGCCCACCACTGGCACCTTTCAACTGGCCCCCTGTTGAAAAAGTTTGAGGACCCCTGCTCTAGCAGGATGGGTACAAGAGGTCCATTTGACTGCTCCTCTGTGATTGCTGTATGCAGCCATACTGCCTTTGATAATAGAGGCAGCACATAGCCAACCAACCTAATAGCAATAGATAGCCTTCTTCATAAATTTGTCCAGACCCCTTTAAAGCCATTCAAATTGGTAGCCCTCACTACTTTCTCTGTGAATTAATTCCATAGTTTAGCTATGTGGAGTACTTTCTTTTCTGTGTCCTGAATTTCCCACCAGACAGCTTCATCCAGGTACTCCAAGGTCTAGTATTTTCTAATATTCTATAAAAATATTTCCCTTTCTACAGTATGCATAATTTTAAACAGTTCCGTCATCACAAACAAGTCTAAGAACTTTTCTTCTTTTCTACATTCTCTTTGAGCAGAAGGGTTTTGATGTTTTCAATGCACTGGATCTCATGGAGAACAAGACCTTCCTGGAGAAACTAAAATTTGGGATTGGAGATGGGAACTTGCAGTATTATCTTTACAATTGGAAATGCCCCAGCATGGGGCCAGAGAAGGTAGGTGGTCACTGCTATAGAGTGTCGTGGGTAGGCAAATACCCTGAGACAAGGTGCTCACAAGGCTTCCAAATTATGATACAGATTGAGTCGCAAAGCCTTGAACGTATCTTCTGGTGGAGAACCATGGAAGTGTACTGCTGAGGAGCTTTTAGCAAAAATAAAAAACAAGCACACACACATGCATGCAGTTTCCAGGCCTTCTGTTTGAGGAGCTGGAATCCAAAAGACAGTGGAGAATTTTCTGTTGAATACTTCAGAAGTACTGATCTGCAGTGGGGAAATAAGGACACAGTCGCTATTTTTTGTATGTGATTTGTAGCCTTTCTTGTCACGTAAAGCACTGTGTAATTTCCACTTGAGGAAATATTCAGCTGAGATACACTGAGATGTCCAAGGTCATGCTGAGGTGGGATTTAATCCTGGGTTTTCTGTGTCCCAGTGGAATCTATCATGCTGACTCCCAAGGGACTGGTGCAACTCCCTCCCTATGCTTTCCTCCTTCCTCCAGAGGCTTGATGTTTGTTGTCTTACAAGTCCCAACTCTTCCCATAAAGCTAGAAGCAAAGATTCAAAATAATAAAACTAGCACTTTTCATCTTGTAGAAGAATTTTGGGAAGGGATATTGAATTAGCAGAAGTGTTCCATTTGGCAAATGGGAAAGTTGGCTTTGATTTACCTAATAGTCCCTTCTCTTAGATTACATTGAAATCTGGAGGATGTAAAGCATTTAGCTGAGATGCTCCACAAAAATGCAGTGACCAGATATTGAGCTCATAAATTCTTTGTTAGGTATACATAATTCAGATGCGATTTATATTTCCTTACAATGCTTCCTAGGTATCTGCATAGTGCTGCATTAAGAATATTAATAATCTTGTTTTTAACCAGAGTGGAACTGAGGTTGTGTGTGTTTGTGTGTGTGCATGTGCACATACACCTCTTAATGACCTGTCAGTCTTCAACACTTTGCTGAAGCACACTGCCTTTTGTATGGAATGCAAGGTCACAAATCAGGCCACTTGTACACCATTCTTCCTTCTTTCCTAATGCTTTCCTTTAACCTGGGTGTCTTTCATAGGTTGGCCTGGTTCTGCAGTAACCAGAAGTCTCCAGAGAAGTGCAGGCAGGACCGCTGAAGAGCTGAACCAGCGTGGAACTGCTGGGCGTGATGGTTCAGATTTCCATGGAACTGAGACCCTCCTGTGGAGGAACCGGTTGGCGCCCACTGCACTAGCCACATGACCCATCCACTGACACTTCCGATGATTGTATCATGTGCCACTGAGTGCGCCAATGTGTCGGTGTCAGCACTTGGCTTCTTCTTCCCCTCGCCCCTCATACAAACATGATCAAGGGAATGTAACTGTTGAAAACTAGCTCACAATTGGCATATATTGGAGTTAACGGGTGAATAATAATAAAATATATTATATATTCTATATTTTAACAATGTTTGCTGTTCACCTGAACTGGAAAGTGGGGCTTCCTAGCTTTTTGTCCTAGAAATACTGTTTTTTATCAATTAAAACACCCCAGATGGATTTTTTTTCCCATCAGAGTGGGACAATTGGTAGCAAAAGTATGGGTATGATAGTCCATCATTCAGCCATATCTGGTGTTTTTCTGTTGCCCCAAAAGACTCATTTGAACAGCAGTTTGCATAATTGGTATGTAGGTGGCCTAGGCTGGTGAGTTTTTGGTCTTGTGCATGGAACAAATGGCTAATATGTTCCAATAGGTTATTCAGATAATTTTTCTCAGAAATCAAAGGGCTATTTAGAACTCTAACAGTACAGAAACCTTGTTTCAAAGTGAGATGGTATATGTAGTCAGTCCATCTCTTCACTCCTGGACATAAACTAACAATACTTGAATCACCAAAGTAACAGCCAGTGCCTTTTGGCTCTTAAAATCCCTTTTGACCATTCTTTGCTCTGTGAGAGCAGTTCTTCAAAGTTTCCTCCAAGAGATAGAGTTATCCGAGTTGCAATATCTTGAACTGAAACTTCACCCCATCAATCTCTGATTTGCTCTCCCTTTTGTGTTTTCCAACAAAATAATCTAATACATCAACCATTCTTTCAGACATTCCCGAGCTGCAACATTCTGATTCTGTTTAAGCCAACCCACAGCCCCTCTTGCTGTCAACTTGCATTGTCTAGTCTTGAAAATAAATATTTTGTGCTTCCTTCTTTTGGTGAAAATTCACTGATACGATGAGAAACCTCGGTGGCAATTATGTCATTGTCTTCTTGCAAGAAAAAAACTCCATGCAAGCTAGAATGAAAACAGTTATCCATAATTGAACTTCACTAATGAATATCTTCTATAGGAAATGGCACTTCTCATACTGTATATTTGATTTGTCTTCCTACTTCGACCCTTTTTATCATTTTCAACAAACACACATTTGCTACCAGTGCAGCTAAAATATGGATGTCCCTATTGCTCTCCAAAAAGGGAGAGGTTATGCAGTTCCAGGCTTTTAAAGAGGGCTGAAGGAAAGGCTGGATCTTGAAGAAAAAACTAATCAGCATCCTGTGGCTACTTTAATGCTGTTTGAGAAGTTAAAAGCTGCAGATACTACTTGTGGTAGTAAACCTATTTCTCCCTTGCTGGGACTGTGGCAGTTCTAATAGCTGAGAGATGTGGGAAGGTATGCCTCTATCATTGCCAAGCAAATAGCTTTTCCATGCAGTTCCTGGTTTGTGTCCATTGATAAACCTGTGTCTACCTATACTATTTTAGATTGCCAGTGGAGATTCATACCATTTAATATACCTCCATACAAAATACAGTGTCCTGTATATAGAAAATTACCATGTCAGGGAGAGGCTGGACTAAAACCCTCCACTTCACATGTAATTGGTGTAGAGGGTTTTTATTCTATTTTTATATGGAGGAGTCTTCCCTCATATGAGCCTTCACTGCAATCTGAAGTGGCATAATCCAGACAGGTTTAAGTTGGCCTTAGTTGCAGGTCCCTCCAATGATAGGAAAATAGGAAAACTTGATGATAAAAGAAACATCATTCCTAAATAACTTCTCAGTACATTAACATGTTTAGAAAGTGAAAGACAGTATGATATAAGCTGCCTAGTACTAGTGCTGATAAACTGAAAGTGTCCCATAGTCTCCCTGCAAAAAAAAAGTGCTTCTCCAGTTTTAGTTCAGTGCCTCCCTTCCTTGCTTTGGAAGGAAAAATAATAGAAGTGCAAGAATTCCAAAAAATACTTGTGGAAGAAATGTTCTAGCTTGAGCCATATTCTTGTCACATCGTATAGGCTGACAGGAACCTTTTCAACTCTGCTTTCTCCCTTGGTTCTGAACTTGCTATGTGAGCAGTAGAAATGATGGCACTTGAGAACCTAAGAAAAGCCGTGCTGCATCAGGCAGTCTGAGCAGTCGGGCTCTCTGTTCACGCAGCAGCAACCCAGCTGCCCACAGGATCCTTCCAGCAGGATGGGTGCAAGACGACCACCTGCCCAAGCTCATCAGAAACGGGTGTCTTTAGTTGGCATGTAGCCAGGAAGGCTACTAGCATTGATAGCCTTTCCCTCCATGAATTTCCCAGAACGATAATCCCTTTTTATTTGTAGTAGAGCTGTTCAGCTTGCCTTTGATCCCTCATGGTAAACCCATTGTTTCCCTTTCTGAAGTACTATCTTGTCTTCTATCTGAGAGAGGTTTGATGACGTGCCCCTTGAACTTCAAAATTTCCCTTTTTGCTGAAATTTCCTGCTATCTAAGGCAGCAGTGTCTTTTCCATACCATTCTTAACTGCAAGGAGGTTTGAAGGTTTCGTCTTCCTGTCTGTGTTGCAGAAGCATTATCAGGCTTTGTGCAGGCGTTGATAGATCCTCTTCTAGCATTTTTCATCTGGGGATTTGAATCACTGCTGTTCCTCATAGGGTTTCTGAGGTGTGCAGTTATGATTGTCCACACTGCTTTGCCTTATTTGTGCAAAAACTCCTTTGTCTTACTCTACTGCAGTCCATAGCATTCTTTATATATGAGAAATGTGTGACATTCCTTTTCACTGCTTTTTACCACTTGCGAGCATATTGGTGGGGGTCCTGAGATGCTTATTTTAGCCAAAGACCTGACAATTTTGCCCCTCCTCAAAGACAAGCCACTTTTGGTTGTGTCGTCTATGAAGAAGTCTTGAATTGCAATAATGTTGGTTGAAAATGGTATTAACTTTCAGTTTATATCCTAAACATGGAAGCAGTAGGTGGAAGGTTGATTGGCTCTTAGGTAGAATGCAAGTCAGTCACAGAGACTCCAGACAAATAATGTGGTAACTATAAACATCAACAGAAACAAAAATAGTCCTTTGAAGTCTTTGAGACTCACCCATATAGGCTCCATTTCTGCACAGAGCACTGCTGGGAACATTCGAGAGCTGAGCAGAATTTTGCCAGGAGCCCTCCCAACATCTCCACATTTTGTGCTCCCTTGTGGCTCCCATAATCCCTTCTTTGTTACCTTTCACCCACCTCCATTCTCAGCATTCGCCTCAGATTTCCCTAAGGTAGACATGAAGGCCTGGGGGAATGGGGAGGATTGTTTCCCCCTACAAGGCCATTTTTGTGTTTCCACAAAAACTGAACTATTGAGCAGCTTTGAATTATGAAATACTTTCTTCTAGAGCAATGAAGTAGTTGTTTTAGACAAGTTATATATTGTTACATAGCTTTTGCTGCCACCAAATGATCTCTAAAAACTAGGTAATAAAACTGCTTGAAAGACTAGGTGCATACAATTTCTAGGGATAATGAAATCATGGGGGAAATGTTTTTAATCCTCTCTGTAAGATTTCCAGCATGGCTACTTCTTCTGTTCCTTAATTGTTGCTCAAGCATATCTTTTATTGATAGACATTTGGGAATGCACCAAGTCATGCTCAGTTTCCTAACATGAGTAGAGTCAGAATATCATGAAAAAAAAAATTATATTCTTGACAATTCAGGTTCTGTTTGACAGTGTACTTTGTGTTTCTTCTTGGTTAGATGCTGCAGCAATCCGTATAGTTCTGTTCTAAAACTCGGATAAGAAAAATAGAACACCAAGATATTCTGCCACTACCACCAGATGTGACAGAACAGCCTTTTATCCCACCAATATTTTCTTTAAAAATTAACTTTGAAGCTTGGGTCCATGTAGCTTACTGTCATTGTTTTTAATAAAGTTCCCTATTAGACCTCAGCACTAGGGAATGCTGTATCAACTATAAAACCTTTAACTGCTGCCACTAGACTAAGCTGCCCCTATTTTAAAGAAGCTCAGAAGTTTGGTTCTTATCACATAGATGTGGGACTGATACCATTAGAGAAAACTTTCAGAATGAACCAAAAATAAGATCTTTGTTAATGGAAATTATTTTCAAATGAGAATAAAATGTCACTATTCACAGAATAGGCTGAAATTGCTTAAAGGTTCTTAAATACACTTGCATAACATTTCAAAATCTCTGGGATGCCCACATGGTAAGGGGGTTTGGGAGTGTAAGAGGAACTATGAGCAATGCTGCCAGGAGGCTAGACTGTCGCATTGGGCTAGTTTCCTAGCAGGGTCTCCCAAGATAGAATGGTCAAAGTGGCAACATGAGACTAAGATGCATCCACCCTCTGCAGGAGGAATGATCAGATCACCAAGAGAGAATGGATTTTTCTAATGATGATGTGGGCAAATAAGCTTCTGAAGGGCAGCTACTGGGCAGCAGCAGTAGCTGAAGGCAACACTGGCAAAAAGGATCTTTCACAGACAATGGCAGTGATGCTCAAGCTAACTCTGGTTACTACTATACAAAAGAAGGCAATGGTAAACCACTTGTGCATCATTTTAACCTTGAAAAGCCTATGTTGAGACCATCCAAAATGAAACAAGTGATAGTGCCAGAAAATGAGACCCCCAGTGTGGAAGCACTCAACCAACTGCTGGGGAAGAGCAAAGGACAAGTATGAATTGTGTTCTTCTTAATGTCACCACTAAAAGCCAGAAGGAAGACTAGTGGCTGATATGCACAGATGTGGAAGGAAAGCCCAAGGCTCCTCTACACATAAAAGTGGAACATGGAATGTGAGAAGTATGAACAAAGGCAAACTGGAAACCATAAAGCCAGAAATTAAAAGGTTGCACATTGAACTACCTAGTGTGAGCAAGATATGATACCAGAAGATGAGCCCCTCAGGTCGGAAGGTGTCCAATATGCTACTGGGGAAGAGCAGAGGGCTAGTACTGGTAGCACCAGAAAGAATGAAGCGAATGGGTCAAAGCTGAAAGGACATTCAGTTGTGGATGTATCTGGTGGTGAAAGGAGAGTCCGATGCTGTAAAGATCTATATTCCATTGGAACCTGGAATGTAAGATCCATGAATCAAGGCAAGCTGGACATGGTCAAACGAGATGACAAGACTGAACATCGACATCTTAGGAATCAGTGAACTAAAATGGACAGGAATGGGTGAATTCAATTCAGATGACCATCAGGTATACTACTGTGGGCAAGAATCCGTCAGAAGAAATGGAGTAGCCTTCATAGTCAATAAAAGAGCAGGAAAAGCAGTACTGGGATGCAATCTCCAAAATGACAGAATGATCAAAGTTTGAATCCAAGGCAAACCATTCAACATCACAGTAGTCCAAGTCTATGCTCCAACCACTGGTGCTGAAGAGGCTGAAGTTGACCAGTTCTATGAAGGCCTACAACACCTTCTAGAATTAACACCAAAAAATGATGTCCTTATCATCCTGGGGGATTGGAATGCTAAAGTAGGAAGCCAAAAGATAACTGGAATAACAGGCAAGTTTGGCCTTGGAGTACAAAATGAAGCAGGGCACAGGCTGGTAGAATGTTGTCAAGAGAATACGATGGTCATAGCAAACATTCTTTTCCAACAACCCAAGAGATGATTCTACACATGGACATCACCAGACGGTCAACACAGAAATCAGATTGACTATGTGCTCTGCAACCAAAGATGGAGAAGCTCTATACAGCCAATAAAAACTAGACCAGGAGCTGACTGTGGCTCAGATCATGAGCTTCTTGTTGCAAAATTTAGGCTTAAATTGAAGAAAGTAGGGAAAAGCACTAGGCCACTCAGGTATGACCTAAATCATATCCCTGATGAATATACAGTAGAGGTGACAAATAGATTTAAGGATCTGATAGACGGAGTGCCTGAAG